GCACCACTTTGCTGCCCTGTCCTGCAGCCTCCCTCACCAGCCTCCGGGCTCTGCTCAGGTTGTCTGCTTTGACGCTGCTCACCTGCAGCTGGACCACCGCCAGACGGAACTCTGAGGAAACAAACACGGAGCTTCAGCGAGTGACGGAGAGCCGCAGGCTTCAAAACCGCGCCCAGAGATTTAACATTAAACTGCGAAACACGGAGAACTCTGTACTTACTGGACATGACTTTGGCTAAAGTAGACATATACACACAGGACTATGCGCTCACTTCACCGCTCCAAAGTCCGGGTCATGTGATTCCGGGTGGCGGATTGGTTTTCAAAATAAGAGACCTTCTTGATTTAACATAAAAACAACAACAAAAAAAAAAGAGTACTAAAAAAATATTATTGACTGTTTTGAAATTGAAAGTGTTATTTTTAGGTGACTTGACGATATAAATTTAAGCTTATGAAAAACTGAGGTCGTTAAATTTAAAGATTTAAGGCGGTGTGACGTCACAGGGGGTGGGTCGATTATCAATGTTATGAACTTTTCTGGTTAATAAACAATAAAAATGAAGTAAGGATCTCAGTGGCTCTGCTCAGTAATAACGTTCCTAAATATAACATGTATTTCCAAGTAAAAAAAAAAAAAATAATAAGATGAACTAGCATTAATGAACCTCAGCGATTAAAAAATAGGGGGATTACTCGTGGTACACAAATAGTGTCAAACCTCCCACTACAGAGAGAATAGCTAAGCTATATATATGAAAGGGAAAACAAAAATATTCAAAAGGAGGACTGTGACCCTGTTTGAAGTATATAAAGGATTAAGATTTTTAAATGTTTTTTCCCTGGACATAAAACAAACAAGTTGTTTTTTGCTTATTTGACTAATATGACAAATTAAGAAAAATATATTTTAAAGAATAATACTAAAGTAAATGAAGAAAAAAATTAGTGTGGGCCATGATTAAAACCACAATTAATTTTGTTCAGGTTTTGAATAGTTTTTAGTCAAAGATTTAAACAGCAAAAAAAAAAATAGGATGACAAATTTTCCTCCAGGTTGTTAGAACAGGGGCGTGTCCAGAGGGGTGGCCGGGGTCATACCACCCACCCCTGCTGTCTTACTGACTTACCAATGTCAGCACAGGCATGACTCATGGAGAAAGGTAACTTAGTATATATGCTTACAAACCTTTAATGTTTCCTTGTACTTGCACTTTAAGTAATTTCACATTACATTGCCTTCTACTTCTATTGGACAATATTTTCAATGCAAATAACTTTCTACTTGATACTGTTCATCTTAAGGCTGTAGTTTAATATTTTATTTTGCAATACTTTTGTTAAAGCCTTGAATTAAGGCTGAGAGTTTCACTTCAATCACATCTTGTTTAAAATCAACTTTGCT